CACTTTGGTTTCGCAACGACACGCCAGTACCACTTTCTAAAATTCCTTTACGAATTTCCGTGATTCCCGCGACCGATAGATGATGCGCATATTATTGTGCCCTCAAGGATATGTTTTGTACGCCGGGAATGCGTGAATCCTCGTAACACTTATGGTGATATTCCGCGAAATTCAGAAATAAATTCTTTCGATTTCCAGACAAATGTGACTGTATTAAAAACAAATGTGCCATCCATTGGGTGGAAAAGAAAATGATGTACATCGACCGATCAATTTTATTACGGCACTACTGTACACCTAATCCAATAGAACAGAAGAAAAAGAAGAAAAAAAAAAAAGGAAAATAGATCGAATGATAGACCCAAATTTTCCCGAAGATTAGACCGCGACTTTTATTTATTGCACGTGCCTATGCGGGCCATCGCATGAGCCCCGAGTAAGATACTTATTCGTCAAACGTTGGGCTCACCCTCGGCTTATCCGAGTAGAGCTTGTGGACTTACCCCTAAAAAATGATGATCTGACCCCCACCGTGAAGCAGATGTAGGACTTTCCTTGGATCTCTCACACGTTAAGACACCAGTTTTTGTTCACGCCACGTATATGTACATGTGTGGGCACACGCACCCGTCCTAGCTCGTAATAGCATTTTGTTTTACGCCCTTTCTTATCTCTCCCAACGATTTATGAAACAATTAATTTCGTTTATTTATTTACGTGACACGCGAGCGGTAATAGATTCTTGAAATTGATGGTACATCAATAATTTTAAGCATCGATAACTCTGTATCAAAAGTGTACTGAGAAGTAATTTTAGAAGAAAAACAAAGACTCCTTATGTATGCAAAGAATAATAGTTTTCAATTGGACTCTAGAAATGAAAAGTTACAATGTTTCGCATCACGAGTCGTTTACACCCAACGCATCAGACCACAAGCTAATAATAAATCGACCAATTTCCACGGGAAAAAAGGAATTTATAAAAAAAAAAAAAACTGTTTTATTTAGTGTACACAATAATCGTGCACGTGCCACATCACGCGGCGAAGAATAGAAAGAAAAGAACGAAAAAGAGGGGAGAGAGAGAGAGGAGAAAAAAGGAGGAAGATTGAAAAATGCCCACCCGCCGTTCGCCGAATGTCATTCTCCTAATGACTGGCCCATAGAAGACAAGAATCTTCTTCTCGCTTCACGAGGCGTATCCCTCTGATGGCGCGCACAGGTATACACATACATTGCCCTCGTGTACGCTTTTGACCGACGAGATCTCCGATCTATCGCCGCAGAACACGAATTATTAAGTTTTGCGTGACGCGTGGCGGCGTTCTTTCAGTCCTCTCCTCATCCTTTTTTTTTTTTTTTTTTTTTTTCTTCTTTTTCGAGGTACAAACGATGATGATCAGCTAGGGTAGATCTCACGAACGGCCCACGATTGTTTTTTCGGCCAAATTGATAACTCACTTCATCGATCACGCGTTTAAAGTTTCCAAAGCGAACGAAAGGCTTTGTTTTTTCATTCCGTCAGAAAACTAGCTCACTCTCTGCACGGAAGGCATTGTTCATCACGTTGCACAACTTTTTTCCAGTGAAAATTCAAAAAAAGTGTTTACCAACCCCACAAAGTCCGAAAAATGACAAGATACTATACTCGTGTGTTACACATCAAGTCCCGCAGCGATGAGCGACTAGTGGAGAACTGGGGACTGCACAATCGTCGAATAAAACGTCCTGGTTTACAAATTAAAAGCACTTTGGGTGAGTGATCGCGATCGCGAAGGAAGGCAAGGCTTGACATTAATTTGCCTCCATCGTGCGCGCTTACGGTATACCACCACACCATTCTGTCAAACGTCACCCCGAGCATCTCTACGACGACGGTCGTTTGCTTTGTGCGCTGTTGTTGTCCCGGCACTTGGATTGATCGGTGGATTTTTTTTTTTTTTTTGTTTCCAGCACATATTGAAGCGATAGGAGTACAATGTTTCGTGTGTATACGGATGACTAATTGAGATTGGCGTGATTACGCGTTTGAAGGAGGACGGAAGTGGCGTGCCTTCAAATCGTTTTGAATGAGCCATCATCAGGACTAGTACTGCCTGACTCTTCTACTACTGGACCACGCGATTCGAGTTATCACGACGAAAAAATCTGACAGCCACTTTGGTTATCTCACGACACACGGACACATCGGATATACGTACTACTCAAAACCTATACGGTGCGTACTTTCTGGAAGTCGTTTATTTAACTAGCACTATTAATTAAACGTAATGACCAGCGTTTTGTGAACCGCGAGATGCACGATGTTAGAGTTGAAACATTGCTGATCCTCGTGGTACGATACAGCATAGGGATGTTCAAGATACTCTGCTCCCCAAACGGTGATCTCTGGTACGTTTCGTAGCTTCGATGTTTTTTATCATGTTCATACAGATGCGTCGATATGGAACATCGTTCATTCCTTGGAAAAAATTTTATTAACAAACCAAGTATTTATCGACTCTGTATGCCCAACGTATTTACTTGTATATATTCGTAAACAGTCAATACTTTTCATCTTACATAAACAAGGTTGCGTATTATGAATAGAAAGTCCTGTACTCTTAGCTATTTTCTTTTTTCAATTATTCCACAACCAATATATGTTATAAAAATTATAAAATGCCCCCTAATTCTTGCTCTTCAAATTAACCTAACCTGCCCAAACATAGAAACTTGCGTAATTTCACCCTCTTCAGCATTTTTTGATAACTTTGGAAAAATAGCCCACCTTATCTGAAACCGTAGAAGAACTTATGAAATTTAACACTAAGATTCACGAATTTACATCTGCTACGGCAAAACGATTGGATACTTTAAATTGCATCTTAAAATCCACCATTTTTGCACGAACAATCTAAACTAATTGTACCTGATGTACCTTCTTCCGAGCAATAAAAAAATTTAAAAATTGTGTCTCATGCAGCTTCAATGCCTTGGGGTGTAACGAGCTTAAGAGTTCCATGTATGGACAAGTGATTGGACACCTGTAGAAGAGAACAGCGTCATCGTTGTCCCAGACTTTTTTTTAAGTTCTCCATCTCGTGGAGTTCTCGTGAAGATGTGCTCAATCGATATGCGTGATGCTGTCACTGGATTGTCCAGCAAACTATCTAAGAAAAGGTCGAGTGACATTTTTGGTGTGGATGGTGACGATCACCTGAGGTTCATCATATTACAGTACCGTCTCTGATAAGAGGCAGATTTTTGTCACCTAAATTCGAGACTGTGCTCATCACTTGCCCAGTTGTGTCCCATTTCTTGTGTTTACATATAAATTCTTGGCCCCAGGTGAGCCTGCTTACTTATCAAGCCATTTTGGTAACCTGACATTCATTCAAGTAATGGCAAAAACGTTTAAGCTCATATATGTAAATGTCCATGTATTTTTCCAGTTTACCATTGGGGTGAAATACCCTTGGCATTTGATACTTAATACCCAAACGAATTTTTGAATTACGGAAATTTTGATTTCTCAAGTCTATTATTTGATTGTCTTTAGAGTTTGAAGTTTGACGAGTATCTAATTGTTTAACTTGATCTGATCTAATTGCTGTAGAATCTTGCATCAATGTGACCTAATATTAGAAAAAAATATCTTCTCCATACGTTATGTTTCATGATTTTGTGGCAAATTAATAATGCGTGAAAATGAGGAATAGTTATTCCAAATGTTACTTTGTTTTTCTTTATTTTAAATACTGTTCTTAATGCTTGAACTGCATACTTTTGATCTTTGTTTACACCTATTACATGGTTCTGTAACTCATTGTGCAATCGCTATACGTCCAACTGATACGGGTGACTTTGTTGTTTAATAAAATAAATTGAAAAAACGAGCCTTTCAATACTACCTTTTTCTCATTGCAAAATACAAATGGATAAAAGCCCTTCGCATGATTAAATGTAGAATCAGGGTACAACGCTGTAATAACATAAATCAAAAGATTGTTCATCCATTTGTTGTTCAAAAGCTTCAACGCTTCATCGGAATTAACTCTGCAGCTTTGAATTCGGAAGCTGGAAATTAAACATTGTTTTACAATCGCTCAGAAGCTACCTTACGTGTCCCGGGTACCGAGCTCAGTAACTTACTGACTCTCCAGAACAGAAGCACAGCCAAATCCATCCAACCGACATCCACAGCTTGGACACACCCAAAGGGATCTTCCGTCTCCGTCCCACAATATCCCCATTGGACCTCTCTGCGTCCTTGGGCGAGTCCAGATTCCCCATCGCCAATCATCTCTTGGTAGCAATTCTGCAGAGGGCGTCGCCCACCAGCCTACAGAGTAGGGATGAGCCCCACATCCCGGGGCACCCAATTGGCGTACATCCCACCAGTGGTGGGCTTGCTCTCTCTCGTTCGCTGTTCCGGGCCATGCAGGGGCGTTGTGTGCCGAGGTCCCAAGGTAGTCGTAGTCTTTTCTCCCCTGCTGCTAACCCGCCAGCACGCCGAATTCGGCCGCTCGAGCAGAATCAGCAGCTCAGACTTCAGTCCCGCTGTGAACGCAGCAAGGCACGCACAGCACGGATCTCCGGCGCTTCCTTGCCCTGACATTTATATTCATCTCCCTCATCCAGTGGCGCGTGCCTGTCCATCCGTAGTCGGAACGTGGGAGGATCGCTGACAAACATACCCCTGTTGCGCCGATTTTTCCGGGAGGTGGAAAATTATGTGCGCGATCGCGGGATGGTGACCGAGTGCCCGAGCTCAGTTGTCGTTGACAGAACCACAAACAGTACAGTTGTGACGCGTCGGACGACTGCGTCGGTCAAACTCTGGAGGCAGCACATTGCCCAAGTGTGATACTTGCCGTCGTTTAAGTGCTTTTAGTTGTTGTTGTTGTTTTTGTTGTTGGTGTTGTAGTTTTAAATGCGCCCGCATTCGGACAGCGCAGTGGCCACGACGACGACGACGGCAACCAAGTGCGCCGTCTCCAGGAATAGGGGAACAGTGACGCGTCGATAACTAAAAAGTGCGTCCCAGTAGATAGATTCCAAAGTGCAGCGTTGCACCATGATGAACGCCTTTCTGGATGCCAGCCAGCACCCACACCACCTGGCGTCTCTGGGCATCAAGTTGTCCCCCGGTGGTGACCCCAACGGGGTGTTAAACCCCTCTGGCGACAGTAGCGGTGGCGAGACCGCCTCCAATTCCCCTGGGAGCGTAGGGACCGCCATGGTCCAGCCACTGCAGCCCTCCCCAGGTGAGGCTCCGGCCCACCACCCTCACCTGCACCCGCACTATCCCCCACACCCGCAGAGCTACCCACACCATCCACATCACCCGGGCACGCACGCGGCGATGAGTGCGGCTCATCTGGGTCACCACATGCCTCCACCTCTACACGGGGGTTACTCGGCTGCTCGGGACTACCTGATGCGACGAGAGCACGAGTTCAACGCCGCCGCGAACCCCACAACTCCCGAGAGTAGTGGTCTGGGGCTGTTCGTTCATCACCACGAGACAGCGACGGGGCCCAGCATCCAGCAGTTCACCCACCATCCGAGCCAGCATTACCCTGGCCACTACCCTCAGGACGGTCGGCTGGGTGGCCCAGGTGCGACGACGCATCACCACCAGTACCTGCCGGCACCCCACCTGTCGGTCCACCACCACCAGCAGCAACACCACCACCATCATCCGGCGATGAACCATCACCCAACGATCGCCGGCCATCCGCACGGGGCCTTCTTCAGGTATATGAAGACCGGCAGCGCTGGTTCGGCGTCCGGTGTCAGCGGTACACCCGGTATCGGTGCGGGGGGCCTCAGTAGCCTACAACAGACGGCCGACGGTCTGCAACAACAGCAGCAGCAGCAGCAGCAACAACAACAGCACCGGCAGAAGATGTCGTGCCTGTGGGTGGAGCAGGAGAGCATCCCCGGGCTGGGTAAGCGGCTGTGCGGCAAGCTGTTCGACAACTTGCACGACATCGTCACCCACCTGACGGTTGAGCACGTGGGCGGGCCCGAGTTCACGACGCACGCGTGCTTTTGGCAGGGCTGCACCCGCAAGGGCAGGGCCTTCAAGGCCAAATACAAACTCGTCAATCACATTAGGGTGCACACCGGGGAGAAGCCCTTTCCCTGCCCCTACACCGGCTGCGGCAAGGTCTTCGCCAGGTCGGAGAATCTCAAGATACACAAGAGGACGCATACTGGTGAGTCAATTTTTATTGTTTTGTCTTTCGAGTCGAGTTTGGGCAGATTGTTTGACCAAAAAAAGTTATATTTTTGGGCTTGACATAAATTTATGGGTACTGTATCTGTGGGTTTGTGATAGTTTGGGAGGTTTAAGTGTTGAGTGAATCAATAAATCATCGTCAAGGATTTAACTGATCGGCTTTCGTTTTTGCATTGTTTTAATTGATTTTATGTCGTAGGGGATGAAAAATTAATAGGTGCGAATAGGGTTTAAAGTCCAATGTACTTTTATTATATCGATACGTTATATAAATTGTATAAATTGTCAGTTTTGTGCACTCATAAATTACACGTGCGTATACACTTTTTTGTGATGCAAGTGATGCAAAATAATTTAAAAAATTTAACATATTTTGGACCTCCTGTAAAAATGGGAAAACCTTTGTACACATCTTTTTTTTCGATGTAGAACCTGTAAATAATGTTTCAAGCAAATCAAAAAGGGATAGGTCTGAAAGGTGTTGTGTTTGTAAAATAATTGCCCATAGAAAAAAAATTATTACTGATTAATGAGAATCGATTCAAAGAAATGTTATTTTCGATCTAATTTTATTTTTCTTTTGTAAGTATAACATAACATTGTTCATGTCTCACGAAAAATATGTTTATTACATTAGAAAGTCCTAAAAATAAAAAAATGTATTAACTTATGGAAAAGGTGTATAAACACCCTGACAAATCATAAATTCTTATAAAAGTCCATAAACCGGTAGAAAAAAACTCCCATATCAGAACATAGATCCCCTGGCGTAAAAAATCAGCCAGAAACACGTGTTCCCAAGACAACTTGTACGTTTACACGGCGATATTTCCAAAAAAACTACGCGCATTTACACAAGCGCGTCAATCCGTCCAAAAACCAGAAACTCAAGAACCGTCCCCGTAGAAAAAAAAGAGGCTCTTCAGCACACGTCTGGCGCCAACTCGAGAATTTCGTCGCATCCCACCCCATAACAACGCGCACACACACGCGGAAAGGGTCCCATCTCGTTCCCAGCAATTAAGAAATTACCCAGCCGTGCACATCTCAAAAATTTATATTACGTGTTTTCTCCACACAAGCGTGTATCCCCGTCATATATACATACAGTCGCTCCACGGCACACATATATACATAGCGTTAAGATTAACATCTCCGACATACCGCAATCGACGACTCGCCGATTTCTCGGAAGATCCGTAAAGTATTCCGAAAAAAAAAGAGAAAAAAATTACTCGCCAACAATCTCTATCCTTTTTTCCTTTCCCCGAGCTTTTTCATTTGCGCTTCGATTCGGCATAGATATACAAATAATACACAGACGTACACGACGTGCACCCTGCAGAGCTCGTCGCACGCCCACCTTACCCCTCTTTTTTTTCCCGCACACGCACATGCAAACAACGCGCCGAAACTCGGCCCCGACAAACACAAAACTCTCGCTTATGGGGTGTGCGTTCTGCACACTTAACAATACGCGCTAGAGCAACCCCTTTTGCTCTCGCAGTTACGGCGTACACGCGCTTTCTCTCTTTTCATCCCTATATACGTACCCCCACCTTTTGACACACTGTTTCATTGTTTTCTCTCTCTGTTATTCTCTGCGAATCAAGAGCCAACACAATAAATACTCGTTACTCTACTCACGAAAATGGCATACATCACGATTACGCGCAAATAAGTGACGCTCTCTCGAGTGTATATATATGTGTGTGTGTGGCGCGGGGTGCAATTGCGTTTGGCGCGAGTGTCGCGCGATCTGCTCGAGAGGGCGTATTATTTTGTCCTCGAAGCGATGTGTCGGAAGAGAGTGAATTAGTGCCGAGGGTTGGGCTGTGTGTCGTATAGCGATGGAATGGCACGCGAGTGAACGATTTCGAGGATCGTGGGTTTGTGGGTTCGTATATTGTGGAGTGGCCGGTTGTTTGTTTGCTTTCACGAGGGCCAGCGGGTTTGTGTATTTGGGTTAAACTGCTCGTTGGACTGATGAGTGTTTGATGGGAATTGGATAATCGAGGGCGATGGGTGATGCGCTTCAGGAGACAATTTTTTATCGTCGCGTTACTTTTTTACTTTTTCAAGAACCAGAACAGGTGACCTGGGCATGATGTTTACACAGGGAGAAAATTTGGATTGGTGTTATTACCCCTTCAAATAACCTAATAAACACCGGTACATCCGTATCTAAGTGATACTTTAATTAATATTTCCATTCACCCCTGACTTTCACGGAAAAAACTGATCCTTTGATAGTTGAGCTGAACAAGGAGCTGTAAAACACAATGATAAATGACTTTTTTTTTAAATAAAAGACATTAAAAGTCATTCGAAGTTATGGAAAGACTTTGCAGGTTCCCAACGAATTCAAATGCATACAAAGTTGATGACGACGACTTTACAAGTGATTGAAGTAATTTAAAGTTACTTTAATTCAAAGGCATTTAGAAAAAAAGTCTTGCAATGACCTATGGAAATTTATAGCAAAAGACTTCAAAATCCACAGCCCCTAGATTCTTTCCCTATAACTAATGTCACTCTCAACACTGACACACTTCCAAATAAATCCAATTCGCAAAAATGTTTATCATACCCTCGCGCGCGTAATACAAAAAACAAAAAAAAAAAAAAAAAAAAAAAAAACACGATTCCAACCAGAGTCTTGTCCAACACCGTCCAAGTGTTCCCTCGTGATGTGTAGGCTCCTCAGCTGACAAATGGACCCGTCGTCCCTCCTTTCCGTATATTCCATTAATTCCCAACAAATCGATTCAGAATCGCTAGCAGCATCCATCCCTGCCCCCCACGCGAGCGCGCAGCTGTTTGATAATCGCTCCTGACAAATCTATTATCAAGCCCCGGCGACGACGGATTAAAAAAAAAAAAAAAGAAAAAAAAAGCCACCCTCCCCTTCCTCTGCACTATCATCTGTGCGCTCGTTGTGTATGTATACCGACGCTTCTTCTCGTGTACCGTGTATAATCCGCAGATGCGAGAGACACACCTATATAAACGGGGATGCGCTGTAAACAAAAAAAGTGAAAATGAAAAAAAAAAAAACATATCGGATGGAGCTCCGAAAAAAAAAAAAATAAAGAAGGGGAAGAGCGAGTGATAGGACACGTGCACGCGATTGGTGTGGCCGGCGAGCAGCGGCGACAATGAGATTCCCCCTTTGTCGCCCGTCGGCCTCTCCCATTGGTCGGACAGCACGGGGATCCAAAGGGGGTTCTTCTTCCTCTTATTCCGGCTATGTACAGCAGGGGATGAGCTGCTGATGCTGCTGTGTCATACGCACCACGCCGGGGCTACCCGTTTTAGACATGTACATAGGAGCGAGTGTAGTATACGCACCTCTTTCTTGCTGTTTTTTTTTTTCCCCCTCCTCTAACACGACCAAGCCAATACGGCTACCATACTACCATCTGTGTATACGAGCACGCGCGCGAAAAAGACCGGCTCGAGGACGCGGTGCGCAGTAATTGCAAACCGGTTCGTCCCGCGTTCGCGTCGTCGCACGAGGTGTATGCACCCCTTCCCTCTTTTTCCACATATATGCGATCCACACCGAAATACGCCACACGCGTGTTCTACCACGCTCCGCGAATCCTCAGTTTTTATGCACTTATATATATACTCGCGATGAGCCACGCACGTGTGTGTATAAAATATCGATGTGGCGTTGTACGCGTGATTTCTCGCTCGCGGTTTTTCATGACTTCGAGGGTAGATTGGACTGCTATCGTGGCTTTTGGACATTACTGCGCTTTGTTGTGACTGGTGTTGCCTTGGCGCGTGGACGCTTTCGAGAGAAATGAGATTCTTTTTCTTTTTTTTTTTTTTTTTGCCTACAAAAAGTTACGGGTATCGGGTTACCCCTTTTTGCGAAAATAAAGTAGAAGCCATTTGTTCGCCTAAATTTGACTTTGGAGCATGTGCAAGTGAGTTTCAGATTGGTAGCTGTTGGATCAACGGAAAAACATGTCTCGACGATGTTTAATTTATGCGTAAAATGTGTACTTTTTTTATAAGAGGCGTTTTTGAAGCATCTCAACGCAGAAATCGGTACAAATGCACTGTGTAAATTCCACGCGGGTTCACAAGGACGCTAATGAAGATTTATGCAAATTGCGGGGATATTCATTAGTCGGAGAGTAAACGTGATACGTATACGTATATACGTGTATATATGGCTGGTGGAGCAGCGTTACGGACATTTTGTATTTTAATTAGTTGCGCCAGTTCATTTGGTTTCTATTGGCAGTAAATTTTGCACCGATGCGATGTTGCCCGATAAAAACGATTCTGATCGGACCAATTAGTTGTACAGTCGAGAAACAAAAATAAGGATCGGGCTTTTTTTTTTTTTTTTTTTTTTTTTTTTGTATTAAATAAAGTTCTTAGTCTTGCTGTACAAGACTGGAATTTGGATGATACCGATATTGTGCTAATATTATGTACACAGAGCCAATTTTAACGACTTGTCGAGCTTTGTGATGTTTTTATTCAGCTGTTGGAGATGAAAAAATTGATAAAAACTGCTTAAAAGTATATAATGACTTCACCAACCGAGGAAAATACTCTTCAAGTAATCACATGGAGAGGCATTAAAACCACATTGCTTATGCTCATGAGTTAAACTGCAATGGTATTATTTGACATTTGTGTAAAATTCTGCGACACGTATGAATTTCTCTGTGAAAAAATGATGAGACACATTCAGGAAAAGGACAACAAGGAACTTGCGACCAACCAAATCAAAAGACTATCAATACAAAAAACTAGCACATACACACGACCAATAAAGTCTAGACGTGGCATAGATACGACGCAAAAAGGAAAGAGTACAAGAACGTCTATACACTTGTGACGTATGGCGAAAAAAAAAATGGATAAAACGAAGAAAAAAAAAAAAAAAAAAAAAACAGATATAAATATAAGGATACCCACACGTGTCTGGAAGCTACACCGCCGTATAGG